GATGTGCACGTAGAACTTGCGGGGCTCTTCGTCGTCAAAGTCTGAGTCGCTGGACGAGAAGCGGGAGGGCTCAGCTGTGCGTGCGCCTCGGTCAAGGGGCCAAGCAGATGCCAATGCAGGGCCTCCCCCAGGCAGCCCTCCAACTGACCATATCCCTCCCGTTCACACCCTTGGAGGCCCTGCAGCATTCTCTCTCGCCTGCCACCCTTGGCCCTGCCACCATGTTTTACCTCCTCCCCTTACCCCGATCCAAGCCCTTGCACAAGTATGTCCTGCCCTAAGGAGTGAACGCCTAGCCTATTCAACTGTCAAGCCCCAACACGGGTACCCCCTCTTTCAGGAAGCCCTCCTGGATACCCCTCTCTTGTGACCCAGCCCCTCCTCTCTCCCTCTTGACCATCCCTGACCCCACAGGGCGGGGGTCTTTGCTTGGTCCTCACTAGAGGCCCCCCACGGGGTATACGCAGAGAAGGTTGCTAATGGCAGCGAAATCACTGCGGGCAGAGCCTTCTCATTGCTATGCCAACAGCCGCCCCCAGAGGGCGCCACGAGGATATTGTTCTGGGTCACATCCGGCCGGACAGTGAAACCTTCTTCATCCACCTCTGCACAGGCCTGGAGGACAAGCGGTGAGTCAGGCTCTCCCCTACCAAACCTCGATTTCCACCCTGCCCCCCTTCACCCGTCCCCTCCGCCCCCCGCCTCCCAGACCTAAAAACAACCCCGAGGGCACTCACCCGTGGGTCAGGCTCCAGAGAATCTCTGCAGATAACAAAAAGAGACGTTGGTATCAGCCCTCCCACCCCATCTGCCCTGCCCTTGGCCCCCAACACTGGTAATGGCAACTGAGGGGCTGGGCCTGGACTGTGATAATGTCCAGAGCTGGCCCTGCAGGTGGGGGAACCCCGGGGCTGGCCTGGGGTGAGGGACAGTGAGTCTGGGGTTGGCAAAGCAAGGAGTGTTCTCAAACAGCTGGAAGGGGAGGAACCCTGGAGCTGTCTGAAGGGCTTGCCTGAAAACATGGAACGTAGGGGCTAGTCTTGGAAAGAAAGGACCCGGGCCAGCCTGGGAAGGGCCAACCTGGGCCAGTCAGGGGACTGGGCACAGAAGGAGTGGGCACTAGTTTGGGCAGGGAGACTCCTGGGCTCATCTGGGCCGAGTAGGAGCGGCTGGGACAGGTCAAGTGAGGAAATAGCAGGACTAACTTTGATCAGGGGAGGAATCCTGGACCACCCTGGGCAGGGGCAGTCCTGGGTAGTTGGGCAGGCAGCCCTGGTCTAGCCTTGGCAGGAGGAAGACTTCTGGACTAGGTCGGGCAGGTAACCCTGAGCTAGCCTGGGTCAGGGTACTCCGTGCCCAGCCTGGAGTGAGAATGCTCCTGGGCTACCCTAAACGGGGGACTTCTGGGACAGCCTGGCAGGAGGAGGTCTCCCGGGCCGGGCAGGGGGG